TCCAGCCCCTCCAGAAGCTCCCTTACTAAGTCCTCGCTAACCCTTGGCCCAGGTGTGCCTCCCCCAGGGCCCAAAGGGGGCCCAGCTGGGAGGTTGCTGTTCTGGTCCCTACTTAGGAAGACGGAGGCAAAGAAATCGTTAAACATGTTAGCTTTGCCATCTGGTGTGACGACCAAGTTTCCCAACGCATCCTGCAAGGGCCCCACATTACCTGGGACCTTCTTTTTATCTCCTATGTATTTTAAAAAAGACTTCTTATTGTCCTTAATCTGGGAAGCTTAATCTGGCCAAGCTTTCCATGGCCTGTAATTTGTGATTTAGCAGCCCAAGCAGCTTCTGACAGGAAGGGAGCAGAGGGAAAGAGGTAGAGATTGGGAGAAGTTTTTGAAAGGGAAGGGGCAGAGACTGAGAAGCAAGAGGAAAGGGGCAGAGAGGAAGGGGAAAAGATGGAGGATGCAGGGGGAGGGGAAGAGGTGGTGAAGAACTGGGGGCAGGAAGGGCAGGAAGTCTGCAGAGGGAAGAAATCGGTGAGGCACAGGGCAAGGGGGACACCTGACCCACCCCTGCCATTGCTTTCCATGCTGTATCAGTGTTTGTGTGTGGGGAGGGGAGGAAGGGGGTAAGGGTGGGATTTAAGACTACTGTCCAATACTTCTATACCTGGAGAGTTATACATTTTCCATGTATAGAATCTAATTATTGGGGGTCATATATTCAGGGTTATCTTGTATTCTAATAAATACAGTAATTTACAGGATGGTTGGATGGCAGGGCGTTGGATTGATTTAAATGTTTTGTATTTCAGCATTTATTGTATAGTTCTTGGGTGGCTGAGGATAGGAGCACTAGAAATGGGCAAAGTAAAGTCACATGACAACAGATGAACTTGTGCCCATTACTATCCAAGAATTAACTTCCCCACAGGTCTTCAACTGCACTGAGATGCTAGAATCTTCTTGTATCCAATTTCATAGCAAATAAGTAATGTCAAAGCCTAGCAAAGAGATTCTCAAGATTCCTGCTATTAACTGCAACTATGAAAAACTGTCTTGGACCCTTCCCCTGTGATTCACAGCCCTTATAGTATATACATTATTTACATAGAAAGTAAAATTAGGAAGTATTTTTCTTGTTATCCTTCAATCAAATTTAAAAAGAAAAGAGAGAGAAAAGTAACATCATTGACTTGAGCCATGCTTTTGATATACCTTGACTTAAGCAAGGTTTTGGATACAATCTCCCACACCATTCTCGTCAGCAAGCTAAGGAAGTATGAGTTGGATTTAACAGAATGTAAAGTGAATAGAAAGCTGGCTGGATCCTCAGGCTCAAAAGGTAGTAATCAATGGCTTGATGTCTAACTGGCAGTCAGTATGAAGTGGAGTTCCCCAGGTGTCAGTCCTGGGTAGATAAAGTAGTAGATACTCTGGAGCGTAGGGCTAGATTTCAGAGAGACCTCAACAAATTGAAGGAATGGACCAAAAGAAATCTTATGAAGTTCAATAGCGACAAGCGCAGTCCTGCACTTAGGACAGAACAATCTCATGTATTGGTACAGGCTGGGGACTGACTGGCTAAGCAGAAATTCTGCAGAAAAGGAGCTGAGGTATATAGTAGATAATCGGCTGAATATGATCCAAGAGTGTGCCCTTGTTGTGAAAAAGAGCAACCGTATACTGGGTTGCACTAGCAGGAGCTTTGCCAGCACATTGACAGAAGTGGTTCTTCCCTTCTATTTGGCACTGGTGAGGCCACAACTGGAGTACTGTGTCCAGTTTTGGGACCCCACTATAGAAAGGATGTGGACAAGTTGGAGAGAGTTCAGCAGAGGGCAACAAAAGTGGTTGTGGCACATGACTTCTGAGGAGAGACTGAGAGAGCTGGGCTTACTGAGTCTGGAGCACTGGTCACCTACCAGTGTCAATTGATTGACTGCTTGATTGGGGAGCTCCTAACTGTCGATCTCATGCCCCCAGATGGAGACAAACTGTCAGAGGCACTGTGATCAGGAGCAGCAGGATGCACGTGGGGAGCAGACAGGACAGGACTGGATATGAGCAGGAAAAAAGCAGGAAGCTGGAGAGGCTAGGAGACCAAGCAGGAGGCTCATTCTCCCAGCTCCCCATTAGTTCCCTCCCATCTCCCACTCATTCCCCCTGCCCTCCACTCATTCCCCCAGCTCCCCGCTTGCTCTCCAGCCCCCTGCTCCTTCCCCTGCTCGTCTCCAGCCTCGGGAGGTGGGAGAGGCAGGGGAACAAGCAGGAGACTGGAGACAGCCCCCGGAGACATTCCCCCACTCTCTACAGCTTCCCAAGGCTTGAGACAAGCAGGGGGCTGGAGACGAGCTGGAGACTTCCCCTGCTCTCTCCACTCTCCAGCCTCCTTCCTGCTCATTCTCTGCTACTGCCGGCAGGGGGGGGGGAGGGCTGGGAGAGCCAGTGGGGAGCTAGGGGAACAAACAGAGGGCAGGGGGTGAGGAAACAAACGCGGATTGGGGACAGCAAGCTGGTACCTAGGGGAATGAATGGGGAATTTAGAAAGGTTCCCCCTCCAGCCCCCCACCCCCTACTTACCTGGCACGAAGCCAGGTAGAGGTCCCTGCAGTTTGCACCACTGCCTGCCGGGCTCAGGCAGGCAGTGTGCTTCAGGCCCAGGTAAAGGCCAATCACAGAGATGCTCTGGCAGGGTGCCTCCGGTTGCCTCAGCCCTGGGCTGTTTTTTCCCCCTGGCATTTAGTTTGACCCCTGGATATCCAGGGGTCTAATTTTGCTCCCCCACTGCAAATCTGCAATGGAGGGAATGGTTTTTTGTTCCCACATGTGCCTCTTGCAGTGTCTCAAAGGGGTTTGAGATGCTGTAAGAGGCACGTGTGGGCTCGTCTGGACACGCTGTCTACGTTTTGAATGTGAAATGTGGAAGCAATCACTAGCGGCAACCTGATGTGACAAAGCACCTCCTTGCTCCCAGGTGGGAAGTCCTCACAATTAGTCTAACAAATCTGCCTCAACTTGTGTTTTAATATTGTGTATATGAGCATATAGTCAGCACTTCATTTATCTAGGATGGAATGGAGGTAATGAAAGCTTCATTAGAGCAGTTGCATGATCCCCTGCCAGTGGAAAGCTGTCCTAATGCTTGTTTAGTTTTTCTTAAGAGAAATCTCATAGCACAGGGAAATCTTTCATGTGGCAAATCAATGGTTGCAGCTCCTGCAGCACTTTCCCGCCTGTGGTTAAGGTAGGGATCATCACCACTATTAAGAGAACACTGTATAATTAAATCAGTCTTATTCCTTTGCAGTTTCTCAGTACTGGCTCATTAGAGCGTCTTTAGGGATGGAAGTGATGTGGAATGTCCCATGGATCAAAAAGTGGAAGACTGGAACAGTCAAAATGAGAGTTAAGAACAAGATCTGAAGTTGGGAGATATGAATTAAGTTCCCAGTTCTGCCATCAGCTTACTTTACCCAGCTATAAAATGAACAATAAATATGTATATACTAAGGCTCTGTAACAGGAAATTCAACAGTATCCATACCCCCCAAGGAAAAGTATATATAAAAAATATTTAACTGGAAATATGCAAAACATTGGACAAGTTACATTGTCATCTGTGTGGCTTTTCAGATTCCTTTTATTTAAAGTAATGTGTGTGAGGAAAAAATAGCTATTTAAGGAAGAAAATAAATCTGCCAATCTTGTATTGATGAAAGATCAGCTCCTCCTTTTGTGGAAGGTATGCTGCCTTCAGAATGGGCAATTTGATAATGCCAATCAAGCAACTGTGGTCCACTAATTGATTTTTCACAAGATATATGATGAAAGCTTGTACTTATCTGGTAGTCAGTTTGGAAATATAAACCTCAGATGTTATAAAAAAAGCTGGATTTGTGGCTAAGAAAAAATGATCAAAATATGAGGGGAGGATAGCAAGTTCACACAACATGCACAATAAGCATGTTTGCTTAAAGCCACAAGAGTTTTTAAAAAATGTGTTTTCTAGCACTGTCAGCTAGGAAAAAAAATCCAAATTCCCCTATACTCAACTGTTATTTAGTGATGCCATACACACAAATATGTTGGAAATATATTGGGAAAATTACTAATAGATTTTAAAATTACAGTTTTAGGGACACATTTAAATATTGCAATTTTATAGATTTATTTTACACAACAGCTTTACAAGGTGCCCATATGACCTTAAAATCTCTGGTTAAGTTTTCCCAAATGTACATGGTTAAAGTTTCAGAAAGGCTGATGCCTTGAACATATAAATCAGTCCTCAGAACCGTGATGTTAGCAGATTTGTTGTTAATACTTTTCTTTCCAATATTTGAACAAAATATACACTTTAGGTACAGGATTTTAGAATATATTTAAGGCTTTTATTATTATTATTTGCCTCTGCATACTGCTCCAGACTTAATTTCTAGATGCAAGATGAGAATATTTGTTAAAGAGACCATGGGAATAATTTCCACAGGACTTCTAATACTTTAAAATTTACTATTACCTGGACAAATGTTATAACTAAATGCACTGTGTGACTTATAGGAATTTTTAAAAGACAAACAACTTGTAAAAGCAGTTGGGTCTTTTTATTTATGTATTTGAAAAAGACCAACAAAAATGCAAAGAGTTCTAGAATTATTTAATATTAAAATACATATGCACAACTGGTAGAGGAGGCAACTCTGTGAAATCAGTGAACCACCTCAACATGTATTAAAGAACTAGTGTTGGGCTATATACTTTGTATGTATTTATGCTACACTGGAATCTTAAGCAAGGGTTTTTATTTTTCTTCTCCAAAAAAGCAGCAAAATCCTATCAATCTTAACTCCTTAACATGGGTAGCTTCATAATAGCACATTCTTTTAAAGTGAAATACTTATTAGTTTGCTTCTCTAATCTTTTACTCAGCATAAAACACTCAGCATCAAACATTGAAGAGTTTAGCTTATTAATGAAAGGCCATAATTGTGACCTTTTTTTAATAGTCCTGCAAGGGGAACAACATATATTCAAATAACCCCCCAGGAGTATATAATTCTGGTGAGCTGGAAAATGAAGCCAAGGTGCTGCCTCATTGCTCTTCTAAAACCTTTTTGGGATAGTGTATGTTTCTAAAAAATTAGGATGGTGAGTTCTTTTTCTAGATCGCAGAGCCCGTGTCTACGTCAGACGTTGACTGTGCAGTTATTACTGCACTGTCATTTAGTACTTGCATACACAGAAACAACAGTTAGCTGATGTTGGACTTTGCTGAATAACTGAACAGCTTTTAGGTGACACTGACTGCACAGTGTGTTGTTACTACTGCATTGTATTATGCTTCATGCCATGCAATGTTACTGTGCAGTAGTAACAGGCTCTCTGATCTCACAAACCCTGCTAGGACTCACCCAGCCCTCCCTTCCGACCTAATGCTCCTGAATGACTCCTGATCCCACAAACCACTCCTGGCACTGGTTTCACTGGCATTCACCAATCCCAGGAACCCTACTGGTGAGAGCAGGGGGGCTGGCAGCTCCATTGGGGGTGGGATCAGGGTAGCTGATCCCACCCCCTGACCAGGGGCTATTTTTTGCTCTCCAACCTTCCCCCACCCCAAGATGAAACCCCTTCACAGTGAACCAACCCCAAATCCTGTCCCCCACCCCCAACTTACTTCTATCAGCTCCAGGCACCAGTGAATACTGGTAAAATCAGCACTGGGAGTGGCTTGTGGGATGACAGGGGATGGAGGGGCATCTGGCTGGTCCTCAGAGAGGTTGTCTGTGTGGAGATGCAAGAAGGGCTGGGAGGCTAAAGATAGCCTGCTGCCAAGGTGGGGGTAGGAAAAGCACAGCTTCTGGGCTGGGCTGGGCTGGGCCCAGTGGCTGGACTTTCCCAGGCCCCAGACTGCACTTGGCATGTAGACAGCACTTCATTTCCCAGTCTACCCACAGCCAATCTAACAGTGCACCTGTGAAGTACAGTTAAATTAGATTGGGTCAGCCATTTTTATTTAACTACTCTAACCTTCCTGGAACTTTTGTAAAGCTTGCACTTAGATCAACCTAACCAGGAATCTTAGTGTAAGATTCACATGTAGATGAACTAAACTAGATCAGGTGGCCATTTTTAAACATGATCTAACCTCCTTCTAACCTATGGTACATACAGACACTTGGGGAGGTTAGGCATTAAACAGAACCCTCTGCAGCCATCCTTTTGAAGCTGGCCCATTGTGCAGCCAAAATTCGGAGATACATAATGCCAGGAAGAAGAGAACTGACTAGAGTGTACATAGCTCAGTGAGACAGATGCCACTGTTTATGGGGTGTGGGAAAGAACTACTGTTCTCCAACCATTTTATACAGTAAATATTAAAAGCAAGATACTTTTAATGGCTGAGATTCTAGGAGGCCTACAAAGGGAACTAGCTATAGCTACCTGTAATCTTGTGGTTAAAGCATTCTGCTGGCAAGTCAGAGAAACATAGGAAGCCTAAAACTGGGGTTTCCTAGGCAAGTACCCTAACCACTAGGCTATTGGGCAAGAAGGTGAGAGTGACCCAGATCATCACCACTCTGCCACAATTGCATGACGCACACTCAAGTGGCATATACAGGTATTCCCAGATAGAATCCAGCCTATTGTGCATGTGGACACTTATGCATCTATGCTTCATGTGGAATAGGATTGCAAATTGTGTCTAAGAACCAAAAATGGAAGCTCCATAGCTTGATAATTGCTATTTTAACATGATGACTGTCTTGAGTTAGGGTTAACTGTAACATTGCCCTTACCTCCATCTCTTCCAACTGGTTTATAATGTCATATTTATAAAGACTCATTTGTAAAGACTTATACAATTACAGTAAACTAATAATAGTTTAAGTTGCTCATACATAAAAAGTATGATACATAGCAAAAGGCAAATCTGGAGGGGATACAATACTATATCAGCCTGGCTTCACAGACCCCAAACCTGAAGATGTTTGAACATGCGTTTTCTTTTACATCTGGTCATAGCTAAAGACTAGGATATTCCACAGATTTCATAGACGTTAGGACTGGAAGGGACCTCATGAGATCGTTGGGTCCAGCCCCCTGCCCAAAGGGTAGGAAGTCAGCTGGAGTGGTCAGATGACCCCAGCAAGATAAGCATCCAAACATTTCTTGAAGGTATTGAAAGCAAGTGCTTGCACCAGTTCTAGGGCAAGTCTATTCCAGACTGTGGATACTCAGATGGTAAAGACATTTTTCCTGATGCCCAATCTAAATCAGTCCTTTAGCAGTTTGTGACCGTTAGACCTTGTCTTCCCTTGGGATGCCCTGGTGAACACATGTTCTCCCAGTTCCTGGTTCACACCCCTTATAAACTTATAGGCTGTCACCAAGATGTGAGACAGTGCTTATGCTAAGCAAGGCCTAGTGTAATTAACAACACACTAAAACTCCCAGAATGCTCCAAGGAGGTTGAGAAGTCAGCGATT